TATCTTTCTCCAGTGATACACTGCAATTACGCACTGTATTTGCATCCCTTTTTGGCGCATACGTTTTAATTTAGGAATAAAAAGTGCTGATTGTTGTTCTGCTTTGTTTTTCAAAGCAAGATCAGTTTCTAGGCTGTGTAGAAAATTGTCAGTCACTCATGGTAAGTATATAGCACCTTGCCCACACAGCACCTTCCAAGTCCTCCCTCTCCAGTGGAGCAAATTATTTAACCATATTTATAACTACTGCTATTTCTGGAGCATTTCCTAAAAGTTGGCTGGTTTAAGGTCTACCCACTTTTACTCTGACATATTTTAGAACAAAATGTAAGAGTCAGCCTCCATGGATGTGTGTTGCAGCACCTCTGTGCTGGTGCACGGGCAGGTGGGACCTGTGGTGTCTCCCATCTGCCAGGGTTTGGATCCCCCAGGTCAGCATGGTTCAGTGCTCGGAGGGAGTTGGGTTTGGATCCAACCCTTCCCAGTGATGGAGCAGTGCCCAGCTTGCGCATGAATCCAGATGAGATCCAAGCTGCCCATGACCTATCCTGCTCTAACAGTAAAGCCAATCCTTCACCGTGGGTGAGCTGATTCACAAGTGCATCTACCCACTCGTGAATTGTGTGTTGGGACTGATTATTGAACATGAAATATAATTCATTTGCTTTTTGGTGCTCTGGTGGAGTTTTTGTTTCCCTTTGGTTGAATTTCTACATGAAGTTTCAGCTCTTGTCTTCTGATCACACTTGGCAGAGCAGCAGGACCTAGAATCTGGAGCTCTGGCAACATTACAGTGTAGAAATCACATCCCACTGGAGAATATTTTATTGGCATTCTTGATAACCTTTCTCTGTAGGAAGGCTTTTACATGACAGCTCATCCCTCAGGGGTCTGAGGTCACCAGTCTCCCCCTGAAATGCCTGGTTTTCTCCTGTGACTGTAGAAGAGGACCCAGTTACATAGGTAGGATCTCTTGCTCAGTCTCCATGCTCACACAGAGGAGCTGAGGTTGGCAGGGTCCTCTGGAGATTGCCTGGTCCCACTTCCTGCTCAGAGCAAGGTCTCCTGGAGAAGGTTGTCCAGGTCCATGTCCATGTCCAGTTGTGTTTTGAGTATCTCCAAGGTTGGAGACTCTCTGGCCTGTGTGTACTTCAGTTTGTGCCCATGGCTCTGTCTTCTCTACCTATCCCCATTAGGCTTTTAAATATGCAGATAAGACCCCCTGAGCCTTCTCTTCTCCAAGCTGGGCAGTTCCCTCTCTCACACAACAGTTGCCCCAACCTTTTCATCAATTTTTGTGGCCCTTCACTGTGCTTGCTCCAGTAAGTCTATGTCTCCCCCTCTACTGGGAAGCCCCAAACTAGACGTGACCTCACCAGTCCTGACAAACACAGAAACAGGGTGCAATATTGAACACCAGAGACCTTGCTTTTTGGATCCCTGTTGATGAGTGTGATAGAAATAAGCAGCATTCCTGTTACTGCAGTGGGAAACGAAGCTGGCCCTGGGGTATTTCTGCAAAGCAGTAGGTGGTGTAGGTTTTATCTCCCTTCTTGCATCTTCTATTTAAAGATGTAGTGCTTCCCAAAGAGAGTTTTCTAAACATAGCTTCTGGAGACATGTTCTTCATTGCCAGCCTGCAAGGTTGACAAGTGGCTTGTGTGTTTTGTTCTTTTCAACAGGCTCAGGGTGGTATTTTCTGCACTTGACAGTTGGCCTCACCTCTTGGCAGCGTGGTCATCTGTGGGGTTTTGTCTCCTTCCTGGGGTGAGGCTGGACATTGAGGGCACAGCGCTGGTTAGTGAGCACCCAGGCTGCAGGTGTTGGGTGCCTTATGGTCATCACCAGCATCTGTGGCCCGAGCCACCACGAACACGTGTGTGGGAGGCTGCAGGGAGGTGTCACAGCCACCGACCTGTTTGCAGAGGGCAGGACGGAGCAGTGAGGCTGCTGGGTGTGAGTCATGGATGAGATGTTTGTAATTTCGTATTTAGCTGTATCTGCAACCGTCCCCAGCTGTTACCTTTGGACTCCCTCTGGGTACTTCTGTACTGTAGATAAAGAGGATAAAGTGCTATTTTTTTTTTGCTCTGTACACAATAGTCTGATATTCTGTCATCCGCTACTTTATTTTCTACCCCCGAGGAGATAATTTTTATGCTCTCCATCCATGTAGTGACCCCCAACTGTTTTGTGTTTATGCTCCCAGTGATCATTTGGCTTACCCTTGTTTGCTGATCCTCACAGACCTGTGTTTCTTCCCTGCCTATGGTGGCTTCTGAGCTGGAGAAATGTAACTTTAATTTAGTTTTTTATTTCATTTGCAAAAGGAGAGATGAGAGCTCAGGCACTGAAGAGGTGTAGGGGGGGCAGTGCTTATGTAGGAGCGGGACCACACGGTAGGGCCTGTAGAAATAACAAGGTTCAGTGGTGCAGGGGGTGAAGGTGCTCCTACCCTTTTGAGGTGCATCCTACCAATGGTGTTATCCCACAGCCAGAAGTTCTTTCCCCTTGTGGCAGGCAGGGAGTGGAGGTTCTTGGGAGATGTTCCTTGCACAAGACAAGAGAGAGAGACTGCACCTACCCCAGCAAGTAGCTCCCAGGCTGGGCAGACAGGCACAAGGAGCAGAGACATGGGCTTGGGTTGCTTGTTCTAACTCTGACTCTTCTCCATCTCCCTGCTTGGGCTCCTTCTCCCACGTCACCAAGCTCTCTGGATGTGAATTCAGCCAGGACTGCTGAGGACTGAGCCCCACAAAAGTGTTTCAGGCTCAAAACAGGCTTGTGGCTCCCAAACTCTTACCCATCTTTGCCTACCTGGCCCTTCTACTGACCGAGGACAAAAGCAACCTGGCTGTGGGCTGGGGTGTTGATGAGTGTTAATCATGTGCTGTTCTGGCCTGTGCTTGGAGAGATATTCAGGAAGGTATTATGTGTTTTAGAGTGAACCATTTTACTTTAAACCACTTTGTCCTTCCTCCTTACTTCAGGAGACCTTGATGAATTGGGGTCAGGGCAATTAGATGGGTAAATTTGCACAGTTCTACTTAAGTCGGCTGTCAATGAGGTAGTGCTGGGGTAATGCTTTCTGGGGGCTCACCCAGTAACTTTTATTCTTTTGTTTATATAAATATATGCACATTTCGTGCTTCATCTTTCCTCTGCTGCATTACAGACCTGCAGGCAGCTGAGAGGCACAATCAGTGGCAGAAGATGTTACACAACATCCCCTATTTTAATAACACGAGGTTCATTTGAGATTGCAGGCACCACAATACGTTGGTTCAGACATCACTTCCACATTTCTTTTTCTTGGGGAAGAGCTGAGGTGGTTTTTTTTTTTCCATTAGTCTGCATGCCTTCGGTTGAGACCACACTTGGTGCACAGCAGATGTTCCTCTCTGGCTTGAGTGCCAAAAAGATTTAATGGAAGATCAAAACAGTGATGCTTGTCCCACCCCCCAGCAGATGGACCCCATCTGCTCTGGGCAGTTCCCATTGGGCCATGCTGGGCCAGTGTCCCCCCTGTTCAACCCCTCCACCCCAGCATTCACTGTGAGCACAAAACACAGGGTTAGCCACACACACACACACACACAAAAAAACCAACAAAAAAACCCCAAAAAAGTGCTGTGGAAAGCAAGGATGAGGAATCTTCTATAATTTCTTTTTCTTTGGCTTTTAAAAGAAAATTTGTAGTTCATAATGTATGCTAAGAAGCAGCATGTAGAATAATACTAAACTCATAATTGCCAACCTGAAACTGCAAGCTCAGTTTTGGCATCCTGGGTCTCCAATAAACAGAGCAGGAGCAAAGCCACCCTTCCCTGCGCTCCTCCCAGCTTCAAATAGAGCAAAACATCTATGAAGAACGGTGGTGGCAGGAGCGTAGCTGTGAAAATGGAAAGCAAGGGAGATAAGAGCAAGAAATCTGCTGAGCACAACTTGTTAATCTCTAGATTTTTGACAGATTGACTCTTTTGTTGTCCTCTCTGGGAATATCCTGCGGCATCCATCTCCACTGCTGGTTTTCAGAGTCACACTCCACACAGAGATTGTCCACCTACAGCACCCTCCTCTGCCCCGAAGCTCAGCATCACCAGGGTCTGTGGCTTTCATGTTGCCCCTCTTTATCTCCTGGGCCCCAGTAAAAGCCCGCTGTTTACTTTGACCACACGTTCATGTTTTAAGTCTTCGTGGTTTATGACCAGTCAGGATCCAAGCCAACAGTGCTTCCAGATCTGCTGCTTTGCATTCATGTGTATCTCAAAACATGGAGGGATTGTCTGCCAAGGGAACTAGAGCATTTATATCTATATTGAAACAAGCTGGCTTGTGGGGTGGGACCACGACCTACAGCAAAGAGCCTTGGAAACCTTCAGGATCAGGGTGCAGAGTAAAGCTCAGAGAAGGGCTGTCCTCTTGTGTAGAAGAGATGTAATTTCACAGCAGCAGTTGAAACTGCCCGGGCTGCTGTGGAGCACTGTCTTCTTCATGTATGGTCCTCCCTCCTTCGTGGGAGGATGAGGGAGAAGTCACCACCCCAGCGGGGGAAGGAGAGGGATGCTCGATGCTGCTGCAGCTCTGCTTGTTGTGAGGGAGGTGGGAGGCAGCCTGGGGAGTGCTGGCTCCATGCTGGGACCTGAGGTATCACCATCCCCAGTACCACTACTGCTGCCAAACTGGGGCAAGGGAAGGACCTTTTCTGGGGGCTGGCTCATATTTTGGAGTGACATTTCCCAGCAGTAAGAGGAGGGGAGGAAGGAAATCTTATTTGCCTATAAAAGGATTCCCTGCCTGCATCCCGCGTGTGGCATGTGATTGGCACGATAAGAGGTGGGGGTGGAAATCCTATAAACCATATCCCAGGGTGGGAGGCTCTTGCTTTCCACTTTTCCTCTCTGCTTTTGATATCTCTGACCCTCTGACAGATCCCTGGAGCTGCTCTGAAGAGAAATGGAAGGAGAAGAAAGCACTCCAATCACATTGACGCAATCCCATTCCTTCAGCAAGCCATATATATTTTTATTTCATAGTCATTTGAACAGCGGAGAGTTTGGCAATAGTGACAGCCTTGGAAGTGTGCCCTCTGCATTTAATGTTATGTGTATGTTTTGGCCCCTCCAGCTTGGCTCTCCCACTCCATGTCTTGGAAGACCCACCATCGTGCTGTTTTTAAGCAAAGCAGCAGATTGAAATAACCTCTCCTGTGGGCTCCCCAAGAGCATCGTGTCTTGAGACACCCAACCTGCAGGAGTTATTACCAAGCTCTGAACTGCAAAGAAGCACTGATACCTTTCAGCCAACAGCCAGCAAAGCTTCGTTAAGCTCTTGGGGTGGTCTGCACTTCTTTCCCATCATTGCTGTTTATTTCAAGATATTATTTTTTTTTCCTTGAACCCTTTTCTCAGGAAAAAAATTAGTGAGGCCAGACCTTCAGCTGGGCATTACTTTATTGGCACAAACAGTACTTGGCAGATTCATGTTTGCTGAGGACTGTGCCCGGACTGAGAAAGACTGGAGTGTTTCAGCTGGGTTTCCGTCACTTAAAAAGGTTGTACGATTCCTAAAGCTGCTAAAGTGAGTCTTCCTGGGGTTTGTTCTCAGTGGGCTTGTCTTTTGTCCCTAATAGCATTACATTTCCTAATTTACCTAATATTTCCATCTTCTATTTCCAAGAATACGTTTGACTGACTGTGCTGTAAGTCATTACTGCTTCTCCCATGATGCCGGAGCACAAATAATGCTCTGATGGGATTATTTATTTTCTTTTATTTTTTTTTTAAAGATCTGGCAGCGTGCCTAGCTCTCCCACTGAAACCAGTGAAACAGGCTTCTGGTTGATGAGACAAGGACCAACAAAAGGGCGCATGATTCTGGAAAGGACACCCTCCTTCTCGGTAAGTCAACCCATGCCTGTTACTTGCTAGTTTATTCACGTACATAGTTGGATGAGTTGGACAACCTGTTGAGCAGCTGGTCCCCAACCAACTGTATCCCTCAACACAAAGGAGGAGCAACTCCCTCTAGAGCCTGAGGAGCCTGAATCGGGGGGGGCTGTCAGGGACGAGAAGCTCAGTCCCGTGTCCCTCACTTTATGGGAAAGACGAAACAGGAGAAGGAAGTGGGAACTCGCTATGATGAAGCTCAGCAAGATGGGAAGGACACTGCAGAGTGACAGACCCCGGGCAGCTGTGGCTGCTGTTTGCCAGGTTCTTTGCTGAAATGACCCAGCCATCCTAACAAATGCCCTGTGTAAACAAAAATATAATATATCTCTATAACTTGTGCCTTAGTAAGAACGATGCAGCTGCTAATGGGGCTGGAGGAGGCCAAATGAAATGCTCTAATGCTCTCTAATCTGGTGATGACTTTTCATCTCAAAGAGTGACCCTACTTGAACGTGTGTGTGCGCGTGTGGTGTGTGTGTGTGCATACGTACATGTACACGTACCTATAGCTTCATAATCCTGCTGCCAAAGGGGGCGGGGGGGGAAGACCCAGGCAAGGCCCGGGGTGAGGGGGAAGTCCCCCCACCACTCACACGATCATGAACTGGCAGATGTAGGGCAGCTGGTCCCGGCACTTCTTGTCGAACCACTTGCCGACGGCGGCCCCCGACAAGGCGGCGCAGTTTTCCAGCTTGCCGCCGTCGGGCTGGGTGGTGATCTCAGTCTCCCAGTTCTTGTAGCGGATGGGGCCGCCCGTCATGTCGACCCACTTGCCCTCGGCCGCCATGTCGTTGAGGCCCAGCCATATCTCCGCCTCGGAGCCGATGCTCTTGCGCATGTAGTCGTAGAGGGCATCGTTCTCCTCCCCGCCCTGGGGGGTGCTGAGGGTGCCCCCCTGCGAGATGCAGTTTTCGCTGGCCTCGTGGTACGTCTTCCTCTCCGAAAAGGCGAGGAAGCATTTTAGGTGGATTTTGGTGCCTTTCAGGCAAACTGAGAGGTTACCGCATGAACAGAACCCAAAAAAAAAAAAAAAAATTATGAAATGGGAATTGGGTTTAAAAAACAGCAGCCAGGAAGAGGCAGCGGCAGCCAAATTACAACTTCATTTCTTGGGCTTGAGAGTCTTGAGTGACTCTCAGCCGCACGGCATTCCCAGGAGCCCTCTCCCTCCTACAAGTATCTCAAGGGCGGGCTGATGGAGGAGGGAACCAGACTCTTTTCAGTAGTTGCCAGTGAGAGGACAAGGAGCAATGGGCACAAGTTGGAACATAAAGGGTTCCACTTGAATATGAGGAAGAACTTTTTCACAGTGAGGGTGACGGAGCCCTGGAAGAGGCTGCCCAGGGAGGTTGTGGAGTCCCCTTCTTTGGAGATTTTCAAGACCCGCCTGGATGCAGTCCTGAGTAACATGCTCTGACAAGCTCTGGGTGGTCCTGCTTTAGCAGGGGAGTTGGACTAGATGATCTCTATGGTCCCTTCCAACTCTAAAAATTCAGTGAAATTCAGTGAAATACACAGGGCATGGTTGTGGGGATGTGTCCTCCCCATCCACAAGCTGTTGGGGAAAAAATGGACCTCAGGGTGCCCCTGTCACCCTCCTGGGCTCTGCTGCTGCTGGAGCAGAGGCACAGCATGGTCCCCCAACCTCTGCCTCGCTCTTCCCCAGCTGCTATGCTTTCTCCCATGGGTTTGTTTGAGGGAAGGTCTGTGATGGGCGCTGCTGGGAGTGTTGAAGTGTTTTGGGAAAAAGCCTCGCCATTTCAATTCAATCATCTTAATTATGCAAGCATGAGAAAAATGTCTTTTCTAATCGGCTTTGATCAGAAGTGTTGCGCTTGCATAGCTTGAGGTCTCCAGAGGAAATTTCTGCTTTTATTGTTAAGAATAGCAATTTTAAAATTTTTTCTTTTTAAGCTCTAAACTCTAAGAGTGCAGGGTACCGTAGCCAACAATAACTAATCAGAGCCATGCATTAATCCCCAAACCAATGAATGTGAGCTTGGAACTAAAGCCTTGATTTTGCTTGTGGGTTTGTTTTTTTTTTAAGGATAAAATTCTCCTTAACTTGCATTTTCATCTCATTTCTGTTTCCTATTGATGTCAGTGGAGTTCGCGCAGAGTAACTGTGGAACATGGCTGAAAGATGGGCATTTTAGGACTGTCCTCTGTATGTGTTCAATGAAGCATGGTGGGACTGCCCTCCATGAGGTTCCCTGAGCAATACTGGGGTACGTATAAGAGACCAGGTCACCATTTCACTGGGGTTCAGACGAAAGAGTAAGCTACATTTGACTGAAGCAGAGAATAATCCATCACCCATCCCTCTGATTCGTCCATGAGGTTCCCTGAGCAATACTGGGGTATAAGAGACCAGGTCACCATTTCATTGGGGTTCAAACAAAAGAGTAAGCTACATCTGACTGAAGCAGAGAATAATCCATCATCCATCCCTCTGATTCATAAAGAAAAATGAACATCTGGCTTAGTGTCATGGAAATATTCACAGCTTTAGAAATGGGAACCTCTAGCACATAAAGAGGAGGGACCATACACGGCACAACTCATGGCATTAACTGCTTGAGGAGCTTCATCGGCCTGGAGCAGTTCCAGTGAGCCCACACTTTGATCCCACAACCTCTCTCCCTGGGATGGATGCCTTGTCACAGGGCGCTTGGGCATCTCTTGCTAAAGTGTGTGGAGCAATTGCAGCCGCTTTATAAGCAGCTCCTCTCTCAAAGCAAAAGCCATGCCTTCTTCAGCGAGTCCTTTACCTGTCTGAAGCGCTTGCTTTTCCTTCAGCAGAGCAACCTCCTGAGAGATGTTGTCAATCATGGCCTTCAGGTCTTCAATCATTTTGAGGTTCACACCATCTGTTGGAGAAACCAAGGCAGGAGCATAAACATCAGCTGCGTCCCCCTGGGGAGCAGCTGAAGTTGTTCCTATCATCAAAACTTCCTGTTTCTCTAACCTCAGAGAAAGACCCTCTTCTCCCAGGTAATTAGTGATAGAACAAGAGGGAATGGCTTCAAGCTGCAACAGGGTAAGTTTAGACTGGACATGAGGAAAAAATTCTTCACAGAAAGAGTGGTCAGACACTGGAATAGGCTGCCCAGGGAGGTGGTTGACTCACCATCCTTGGATGTGTTTAAGAGTCGTTTAGATGTGGTGTTGATGAATATGGTGTAGGGGAGAACTTTGTAGAGTAGGGTAGATGGTTGGACTCGATGATCCCAAGGGTGTTGTCCAACTGGAATGATTCTATGAGTCTATAAAAAGGGATCTGCAAAGTCAAAGCCTGTCCCCTTGTACATCCATCACAGTATTTGCTCGCTAGCCTGGTTCCACCACCAACCCAGTTCTCCCAGTTTGGGTTTTGGGGCTTTGCACCCTGTGGGGCTTCGTGGGGTGGTGGTTTCCCCTTGGGCTGCTGCTGCAGCACTGGGATGGGGGCTGCAAAGCGCAGGCTCAGCTCTGGAGCCCCTCTGTAGGGCTCTCACCTGCCATGGTGCTGCACTGGGGTCAAGCTCCCAAAAATACAGGAGGGCACTGTATGATGCTGCCCTTCCTGAGCAGCAGTTCTGCTGCATAGTAGTGTTTTGTTGGGAGCTTAAAGCTGCTGCTGAATAGGATTTATTGTATTATTTTTAACTCCGCCCCATCTCTGCCTTCAGCATCCCCAGTGCAGGTGCCCAAAAAACCGGCCAGAGCTGCTCTCCTGCTGCAAGAAGACACCTCCTTGGCCAGGGAGTTGGTTGCAGCCTGCTACTAAAACCTACCTCTTGCTGGGGGTGTCGCTTCTCCCCTTCTGCTCTGCATTGGTGAGGCCACAACTGGAATCCTGCATCCAGTTCTGGGCTCCCCAGTTCAAGAGAGACAGGGAACTACTGGAGAGAGTCCAGTGGAGGGCAACTAAGATGATGGAGGGATTGGAGCATTTCCCTGGTGAGGAAAAGCTGAGACAGCTGGGACTCCTTAGCCCGGAGAAGAGAAGGCTTGAGGGGAGACCTTATTAATGCTTATAAGTATCTACAGGGTGGGCTGAAGGATGATGGAGCCAGACTCTTTTCAGTGGTTCCCAGCGACAGGATGAGGGGCAACGGGCACAAGCTGGAACATGGGAAGTTCCATTCAAATCTGAGGAAGAACTTCTTTAGCATGAGGGTGCCAGAGCCCTGGAAGAGGCTGCCCAGGGAGGGTGTGGAGTCCCCTTCTCTGGAGATCTTCAAGCCCCACCTGGATGCAGCCCTGAGTGATGTGCTCTGGGCAACCCTGCTTTGGCAGGAGAGTTGGACTAGATGATCTCTAGAAGGTCCCTTCCAACTCCAACAATTCCGTGATTCTGTGATTTTTGCAACAGCTCCAATTAATCGGTACTTGGATTTTTCCTGTCCAGGAGCAAAAGGACCATTGTGCCTTGGAGGTGGTGGAAGATTGAACGTTGAAGTGTTTGTGTTCATTATGCTACCTCTGCTGGTCCTGTTGCTTCACCTCACCTGGCATAAGCATCTGGTAGTCCTCATGGGGTGAAAGGGGACAATTTGCCCACAAGCACCGTAGGATGGGCTTCGTCGAGGGTCCAGGAGACAAGGAGCTGCGGCACCAAGCCAGGTAAGTGGGGAAGCTGCTTGGACGAGGACCAAACTCATCAGCCCACAGATTACAGGGTGCCATGAATATTAAAAGCCAGACACATCAGGAGGAGGGCATTAAGCTGTTTAACTAATTGCTCAATTAACTTTAATGGGTTCACTTAATACTGAGGCACTAGTTATTATTTTGGTGGCTTTGATGAAAACACTTTGTGGGAAACAGCTAATTAATGCCTTTTTTTCTTTTTTTTTTCTTTTTTTTTTTCATGCAAGCCTCTCCTGCAGCAGAACAAATGTCCTACAGGTTTAAGTAACATCCAAGGGCCATGGCAGGACACTGCCAATGCATCTCACTGGGGCAGCACCTTATCCTGCTCCGGCTGGGTTTGCTGGGGTGGGTTCCCATCTAGAGGGTCCCCGTCACCCAAGGTGGACCCACCTCCTTGATAACTACCTGCGCAGTCTGTCCCTTTCCACCACCTAGCTTGCAAAACTTGGGCCACAAGATGTTCCTGCAGGAGCACATTCACCAGGACATCGCGGGGAGAACCACGAGTGGTTAATTTGCACTTCAGCTACAAAGCAGGTACCGCAAGTACATAAAAACCCATCATTTTCTATTCTATTGGCAGAGATTTTTTTACTCTGTGCTGTTACGTCCTCAAGACTCACCTCCTGAAGCCTGTGATCAAGGCTATTTCAGCTTGGTTTTGCTGTGACTGAAGCCAGCGTGGGGGCTGCCAGGGCTGCCCGGGGGAGCTGGAGCAGGTCCTTGTGCAGCTAAGGGTTAGCAGCAGGATCAAGCACGGGCAGAGGCGAGATGAAAAGGAGACTCACAGAAGGATGTGGGTCTCAATAGCCTGTTGGTTCCAAAGCCTGGCCAGTAACACATTTGATGCTGCAAATTTTCTCATTCCTCTTTGTTCTCATTATATGCTGAATAACAACCGAATCCCTCTGTACTTCATTTTGATTAATTAGCTATCCCTATATGAAGTTTGGATCTATGTCTAGGCTGCTTAGCTTTGCCTGGGCAGGCACCGTCTGGTTTCCTCCCAGCCAAACAGGTCCCTGTCTGTCCCCCAGCAGGACACAGCATCGCTTTGCTTCGCCGTGTCTGCCATCAAACCTCCCTGGTGTCTCCTCTGCCACCAGGCATTTCCCTGAGTGTCCCAGCAGGAAAAGTCGGGTCCCTTCTTGCAGCCTGATGAGAGGAGGGGACCGAAGGCACCTGCTCGGTGTGAAGGTTGGCAGGCATTTTCTGGGAAGAGCACTCAGGCTCCCAAGACCACAGGGGAATTTTGGCACCCCCATCAGCCCCTACCTGCTGATTCAAGCATCTGGACTCCAATGGCTGGCCCCAATTACCTTAAAAATACATGTGAGAGCTACCCAAAGATGCTCCCTCCCATGCCCCCGGCACCCCCCTGCACTGTGACCAAGGGGAGCCCCCCCAGGGCTGGTGGGTACCCAGCCTGGAGCACCATTGTCCAAGCCCAGTGCTGCCACTGCCACTGCAAGACCCCTGTGGCCACTGGAGCAGGGTAAATCCTATCTACCCCCTGCCCCCCGCAAGACATGGGGGTTTGGGGAGAGTTTGCTGAACTGCTGAGTCTGGGAAAATCACTGGGAAGCAATTTGGGGTGGGAGAAGAGGGGGGAGAACCCAACAGCAGGCAAAGGGAGTGTGTTATCTCAGCATTTTCTAAAGGCTATGGTTTGGCTTCTTCATGTCGAAACAGCACCATTTTTGTTCTGAAGCAGATCCAAATGTAAGCAATAATTACAAAAAAAAAAAAGAAGAAAAAAAAAAGAAAAGAAAACAAAACAAATAAAGGGGGGAAAAAAAAAGAGAAAAAAGCTTGGCTCAAATAATAATTTTCTTTTCTAACATTTGTGGTTTTGGCTGCGGAAATGAAAAAAAAGTAAATCCAGCCAAATACCCCAACCCTCCAGTGGCTTCACCCTGCCCAACCTCCCCAGTGAAGGATGGGGGATGAACTGGGACGGGGGCACTGGGGGCCTGGGATGGGGATGGGATGGGGCCATCCTGCCCTCACTCAGGGTAGTAGCCACCAAGTCCCTGCAGCGGGTGGGCTTGGACATGGCAAGGGGCTGGGGGTAAAGAGGAGCCTTGCCAGGGATTTTTAGTGCTTTCCTCCCTTTCCCCCACCCCCTGGCATTGATAAAAATCAGAAAGAAAAAAAAAATGTTAACCAAGAAATGCTAGAAGTTTCCAGGCAGCTAAAGGCAGGGCAGCTGACCTACCATGGGGCTGGGTGCATCCATTCCCAAAATGCCAATTTCGGGTTGGTTTTTGTTTTTTTGTTTTTTTTTTTTTGTTTTTTTTTTTTTCCCCACAGAAAACTTGACCTCTCCTTTGAAAAGAAACCCTGAAACTCTCAGGAAAAATTGCCACCAACTGTTTCAGATGGCTTGATTTACAGAGAAAAAATGTTGAACCCCCCCTCCTTTAAATGTTGAACCCCCTATCTCTTTAAAATCAGAGCCCCATTTTCCTGTCTCAAAGGTGATTTTTCTCCCACCTGTTGTCACCAGTGGGTTACAAAGAGCAGTTCCAGTGACACGGACAGAAAAACAACATTTCTCTAAGGAACTTACCAATCTCTCCTTAGTAAGTGCAATGAACCTATGTACCCTATACCAGGCCAGAGGGGTATTTTTGCTCAGAGATGCGGAATGAGCAGATACACAGTGAGTTCATAGAAAGATCTAGTGGGGAAAAAAAGGGAAAAAATTCTCAAGGATGGGATCTGACAAAAATAGGCACTGGGTGAGGGCAGAGAGCAGCCCGGCCAAGCGAATTCCTGGGATGCTTCTTCCTCGCTCCCAGCTTCATTCCAAGCAGCCAAGTGCCCACCAGAAGTGGTCCAAGCCTGGGCCACCACAGCCCCACACATCGGGCAGGGCTCACACACCTCCAGGCTGGGATGCAAGCCCCCTCCA